AATAAAACGGTGTGGAATTGATTCAAACTAACAATTGATAGTCTACAGACATAAACAAAAAAGAATTAGTGATGTGGAAAAAACAAAGAATTAAAATAGGATCCCACGACATTAAAACTGAGTTTTCGAAAATCCCTTACATTCTCCCTTAATTTAATAACAAGATCGTCTATTTTAGGAAAGTCGGCTGTTACCAGAAATGCACCCGACTAAGTAGGGTCTATCACGCATTAATCCATGATAGAAACAGAATGTTAACACTCAAGACCCTCGCAGATATAAAGTTATCTCATTTGCATCCATGATGGTAAATGTATTAAAGAACATTATTTTAAATAGAGTCTCTTCGTTTTACGAAAATCATTTCCTCAGTTTAGTTTTTGTTCTGCTAAGGCAGGGATCGATACCATTTCTGCCATTGGACAATTAAAAAAAATACTAACCACTCAAATAGAAAACTCTATACTACATTGTCGACCTCATTGTAGGATATGACCACAATAATAGAAAGCTTCATTTCCCATCCATTAGAAGACGCCTCGTGACGTCGTCCCCCGGTCGCAGCGCCAACTGTGACGTTCTATCCTGATCTACCACGGCGCCAGTTGTGACGTGGCCGTTCCAGGGTCCTATCCCGGTCACGACACCAGTTGTGACGTCCCTAAACAGCACCAATTGTGACGTCTTCGCCGCGGCGCCAGCTGTTCGCTCCTCGCTGCTCCGTCCGGGTGACGCTGCTCCAAACGTGAGGTCCGCTTGTCGCGTCAGTCGGGTTGTCTTGTCCTGTGACGACCAACTGGCTTGGTATCGTTCGCGGCATCCAAATGTGACGTTCTAACCTTTTGGTGATTCGGATGGGAATCTGGTTAGATTTGATATCAGCCTCGCCGTTCCCAACTCGCTTCCAACGCCTGGTTACCAAGGTAACTGCACTGATCTCTAGTCTGCCTACCCACGTTGTGAATTGATCTTAGACAAACGAGATCAAACAGTGGTTGGGGCCGTAATGCAAATTGAGTTCAACGGGGGTGATAACACACAAATATGCATAAAAGTAAATAAAATGAAAACACAAAAAGTTCAAAGTATCAAAGAAAATGGTAACAAACTTTATGTCTAGTTGTTCGATACATAGGACTGCATCTATCTCCCGACCCGTTCTGTGGATTGTGACACGTCGTTTTCGCTAGGCATGTTTTAACGCTTCAAGTTTTTGGCTCTCTAAGAAATTTGTGTTTCGGTGTGTCTTTGGACGAAAGTCGAAAAAAATTATTTCGGTGGACTGGTCCTAAGTCGCTCTTCAAAATAATTGTTCTTGGTTGAAGAGGAGTCCGAAATTGTGCGTGAATCTTGGTCAGCTATCTTGGTCTATCATCTCTGCCGCCAGGGCTCGAACTGATTTCTGCCTGTTGGGGCCTGGCTTTTATTGACGCCGACAAAAACCGGGTTGGGTCTGTTGGCGTCGGGGAGTTCCTCGATAATTCTAAATACATATCCACCTCTTTTATTTCTGGTTAGGGATTTTCCACTCTTTTCCATTTTTGGTAACTTTTTTCACTCCCACTTTCTCACCATGCTTCTGAGGGGCGTGAACTGCCCTCCCCACTTCTTCGTAGCAGCTTCTCATACTTATACTCTGGATGGGGGCGTCGACAGCCTTCTTCGTGCGTCACGTGATCACTCTCGGCCAATGAGGCCTTGGTCGGGTATCTTTCTTCCTCCTTCGTGCGTCACGTGATCACCACTTGACCAATGACGTCTTAGTCGGGCGTGAACAATCCGCGGCTTTGTTTCGGAAAAAAAAATACCTTGCTTAACTAAAAAATTAATTATCTCTTCTCTTTCCTTTTTCTTCCTTTCAAATCGCCGTTATCATGAACGGATCTGACAACTCTTTGTTCAACACGTGGCGTTTGTCAAGCAGTTTATCGCTAATTCATCAGATGGTTGGTTTTCCGACATGGCCTCAGAAAAGAACTTTCCCCAAGTTTTCAGTCAGTCTGACGTCTCCAAGGAAGAAAGAAAAACATTTCTGGTTCTATTCATTTTCCTTCGGTTCATGTGTCTGATAACAAAATTTTATTATCGCAGGGCAACTTTGTTCTGTTGAAAAGAGTTTAGTTAGCGCGACTGCTTGTGTGGGATTTTAATTTTCCATATCTAACTAAGGCTCTGTAGCTACACCTTTGTTTTGTCAATTATCAAAATTAACGTTTTCAAGTGGACTTTCTTTGGCGAACATTTCTTGATAACACATTCCATTCGCGCAGGCCAAGTAGGAAAATCAAAACAACGATTACTTGTAGGTGGCCTTTAATTTTCATATCTGTCATTGTAAGTCTTTTTTAGTCACCTGTTTCTTTTCGTCCCTCTCGAAATAACATTTTCACTTGAATTTTCCCTTGGCCCGATGCCTTCCCGTACCAATAGTTTGTTTTCATATCCTTTCTAACACTTCCCTGGTTTCTTCAAATCTCATTGTCATTGTAATGACACTTTTTCGCCATTTGCCACTTATCAAAATAACCCCCAACCTTATTGCCTCCGTATCGTGTGTGTGTGTCCGCCTCCTCACCCATGATTTCGGATCTCGCCTTTTTCCCTTCCTTTCTTCTTTTCTTTCCTTTCCCTGTCTGCCTTTCTTTCTCTGCCTGGATGCATGGTGCCACACCTTGCAAACCCCGAACCCAGTGAATACATCGATGTAAATATAAAAAGTGTGTCCATCTGCAGCATCTTACATGTCTGGCGAGAACCCAAATACGCAAATATTTCAAATCTCATCAAGAGTAAAACAAGGAAGAAATGAAAGGCCTTTTTTTGTTAATCTTTTTCTAGACTTTGCCCTGCGTATTTACAAACATATATTTGATGAGATTGGCACTGACTTTTTAATTTTACCATACTGCATCCCAAACGAGTCTACCAATAGACAATAATTCCACTTTCCCTCCAAAGACCAATATACATCTCATTTGAACCTTGTAATATATGAAGATATGGTTAGTAAATATTAGACTTTAATTCTGCAATTATGCCATGTATATGTGAAAAGTTCATAGTAAAGAAACTCTTCTTTTGCGTCAAATAAAACGGTGACTAATTGATTCAAACTAACTGTTGGTCACAACGATATTCCACACAGATTTGAATAATTTAAATAAAATAATTCTTTTTGCTCATCGATATGAAGAATATAAATTAATCACTTATCTCAATCTCTTTTTAAAATATATTCCTGTTCGTCATTCATCAGCGATTCTGAAACAATTTAGTAGAAAAATAATCTAAATAACATTTATAGTTCAATGGTATTTTACCGGATTTCAACTAAATAAAATGAATCACTGTGTAAATTTCAAACCACTACGCTTTAATATGAAAATAAATAAAAATGAATTTCCTGGCCATTTATTAATAAAGATAACATATCTCATATTATCACTCTATTTCTGATGATGACACTATATCATCAAATTGAAATATTTCATACTAGATTAATTCACTATGGCCAGATGCCATTTTAGAAATAGAATCGATAATGAGCTTGCAGTATTTATTACGAATTTTAAAATTAAGCGTTATAATGCTTTACTAAGTACCTGATTACCTTTACAAGAGCCAGATTTGGCGTGAAATGGCGTACTGCTGACATATATGAGAATGAGTTGCCAAGCCTTCACATCCCATTCTCGATAATGTCAAAAGCATTTCCGCGTCCATGTTGGGGACAAATTATTTTCCATCGTACAACGAAACTGCTGTATCGCTAATTCCATGTTCTACACTGCCTGCTGAAAACCCACCATGCTAAGAAGATTATAACGAAACACCCTCATTCCCTTCGTATTCCATGCGAGAGAAGTATTGCGGATGATATGTTGGCGCACAAATATATATCGAATATCAGAAGACAACAACAAACAAAACGAAGTCTTGAGTTAAAATAATTATTTGCCATCTATTTTTTTATTAAAGAAAAATACATAAACACAAATAATGTTAGTACGAACCAAGCAAATGATAACGCTGCAAGGTTATAAACAGGGTGAGACGTAGTATTTTCCTGAATAGGGCAGTTTCTTAGTTACAAGAAAGTGGATGTACTGAGAAAAGTTTCAGAGTCGCAAGAGAGCGGTGACCTGAAAAGGATAGTTTATTGCGTATCGTGTGTTGCCAATTTAGATGGCTGGAGCAGTAGGAGGACTGCTGGTCCAACGAGCTATGTTAAACAAGTGATGATGATGAAATGTAAAAGTGGTTGCTGGCTGGAGGCGTGGGCAGGCAGACAGCGACTGTTGCTGCTGCTGTAGACACTGCACTTTGATCCTAGCCACCCCGGACAACGGTTTTCATTGCTTTTCGGTTCTCTTCATACCCTAAACCGTTCGCGCAACAACGCTGGTTAAGCTTTTTCAGCAAAGTTGTTTGTAAAAGAATTTGGCGTACACACAAGATTCGACATAAGTTCCACTCGTCGAGCTTTTTCCGGCGAACTACTGCTTTATGGAACCGATTACCAAGAGTATGTTTTCCTCATTGCAACAACCGTAAATTGCTCAAGTCCTAAGTTAATCGCTATCTTTACATATTCGAATAAACAGTGGTTCTTATTTTGTAACCCTCTAAATCGTGAGACTCCCTGTCTTGTACTGGGTGAACATTACTATTATATATATATATATATATATATATATATATATATATATATATATATATATATATTATATATATATATATATATATATATATATATATTTTTTATATCAGTAAATATATATAATTAAATGTCAATATTTTCCCAAGTGATTGCTTTTGGTAAAAAACACTTATTCTCTCTTATATATATATATATATATATATATATATATATATATATATATATATATATATATATATATATATATATATTATATATATATATTATAAAATTTATGCTATTCGTCGAGTGCATATTAAAAAGTGTCAGTTTACATTAGGCGGATGAACATTGCATTGTGTCAGCAACTCACCTTTATGCTAATGTGGGGTAGTTCACAATACCATAGATAGATAGATAGATAGATAGATAGATAGATAATAATATTCGTTTTCTATATTTTTGATGACTTGGATCGTGATTACGATTCCAATTATAATATATTATAACGATGGAATATTAGTGTTTGATCCATTTATATTATTTAGTGTATAATATATATTAATAAATATATATATATATATATATATATATATATATATATATATATATATATATATATATATATATATATATATATATGCATATATAGAGATAAAGATTTAGGCAAAAAAAAAAGAGAAAGTAATAGAGAACTGGATTATATTATATTGTGATATATATATATATATATATATATATATATATATATATATAAAAATAATATATATCGTATTTATTGCCATAGCTATCTATATTCTATTTAAATATTGCAGTAGATATTCATGAAATATTGTTTCTGTAAAGAAAATTCTCGCTTACAGATATATTTTTCTTTTGCACAAAGTAACTCATTCTTACGAATATATAGATGTATGTGTCTAGCTAAAAGTCAGAATACTGAGCTTAACTGATATATACAAAAATAATCGAACATTTATAGAGAATGGGGCATATTAGAAACTTGGTAGCTGAGCTAAAAAAAGTTTTCAAAGAAGTAAAAATCTAAAAGATTCAGTGTGTGCGTAGCAATAGAGAAAGAAAAAGAATTGAATAAAAAAGCGAAGCTGATATCTTAACAGATAACTCTCGCAAATCATTGCTCAATTGGCTGCAGTTACCGCTCGCATAAAACCGAACAGACAATCGCGGCAACTTCAGAGACTCTCTCTAAAAATAATCACTATTTTTTTTTTAGAATTAACGAGTACGTTTTTTTTTCATTCATTCCAACTTATATGTAAATGTTTTGCACCCTTTGTATTGTATTTCAAGGAATGTGAGAACTTTTTCGAAAAATCGAACTTTGTTATAGCATTGATATAAGGAAATTTTAGTTAAATAAAATCTATCTAAAATGAAATATAAAAATAGATAACTGACGGGCAGCTCAATTTGTTAGGTGAATTCTAATGAAGAAGATGGTAAATGATTAATCATTATGACTTTCATTATATGAGATATAACTTTAGAACTTGGTCTATCTTAGTCCTAGAATTTTTTTTTCATTCCTTTGAACTCTGCAACTTTCGTAACGACCAATCATTTTCTGTAGGGTTCCTGCTTTCCTTTCACTTGCTTAGACTTGTCAAGTGTATTCAACGGAAAAGTGACACAGAAATAGATATAGAGAGTTTTCAAAAGCTGACTAATGTATATAGAAAAAAATTACATTAGTGCCCTGTGTAAGACGATAAATTACATCTAACTGCAAGGCCTCTGATCAGGTTTTGAGGAGCGTAGAACCACCTCTTTATTGCTGGTGTTCCTGGTCCAAGCTAACTCGGAGTGGAAGCATCGGTTAGGATCCCAGCTCTGTGCAAATAATTAACACTTAAACTGGAGTCAGAACACCATGAAAGTGTAAAAATATGTTTGGATATCAGAAATACTTTTTGTAAAAGAATATTACCAGAAATATATTACAAGCAAAAAGAAAAAAATTACCAACTTTATAGTTTTTGAAAAGAATATTACCAGCAATAGATTTTTGAAGCAAAGAATATTACCAGCAATAGATTGTTGAAGAAAATAATATTACCAGCAAGAAATTTTTGAAGAAAATATTATTACCAGCAAGACAATTTTGAAGAAAATAATATTACCAGCAATAGATAAAGAAAATAATATTACCAGCAATAAATTTTTGAAGAAAATATTAGCAGCAATAGATTTTTGAAGCCAAGAATATTAGCAGCAATAAATTTTTGAAGAAAATAATATTACCAGCAATAGATTTTTGAAGAAAATAATACCAACAATAAATTTTTGAAGAAAATAATATTACCAGAAATATATTTTTGAAGAAAATAATATTATCAGCAATACATTTTCGAAGAAAATAATATTATCAGCAATACATTTTTGAAGCAAAGAATATTACCAGTAATAAATTTTTGAACAAAATAATATTACCAGCAATAGATTTTTGAAGAAAATAATATTACCAGCAATTGTCAATAAATATTATCAGCAATAACAATTTCGTCCTCTTTAAATACCCCATCGCGGTTGTCGTAAATCAAACCAAACCAAAATTACATTAAAATCAAAGGTAATAATTCTGAACCACTACGCGATACCAATCCAAATATATTGCGATGTGTTGGAATATTTCGTCTCAGATGAAGAGGCGTGGTGAGGGACCACAGGTATGGTTATTCTGGCGTTTATCTAGGAAGAAACAGGGAAGTAATGAGAAAGTTTTAGGTAAAATTGGAACAATATAGAACCCAATTGTTTACAATGAGAAAGAAAGTGTTTAAAATATATGGACGGCGTAAAAAAAGAAAGAAAAGAAATCTTGTAAAAGCTAACACTCATAATTCGGGTTAAATGGCCGGAGGGTTAACAGCGACAATCGTACCATAATCATTCCAAAAATGGGACTGTGCTGTATATAAGAGGACAATAATTGATTATAGACACAAGTTTAGGACATTGATCTAATACCGTACACATGCTGAAGAGACACGATACATAAATGATACTATGATGCCTATCAAATCACAATACTTCTATTTCTTCTACATAAAGATCTTTCTCTCATTGTTAGAAATTTCATTTATAATCGTTATTATTTTTATGATTTCTTCATCTTTCATATTTTCTCTGGGTTTATTTTTCAAAGCAGCATATCTCTTCAGGACGTAGATGATAATGAATCTCAACAGATTTTCTTTATTTTATTAGCTGTAAGCTGCCAGATTTCTTAGAAAAGATAGTGAAATAGTTTCTTGTGATATTTACCAGACTGAATCTTTCATATGTATGTTAGCCATGGAGCCAAATTTTTTTTGGAAATTCTCTAAAACATTTCGTCTATACGGATGTGTACTCGGATCGATGATTAACGATGTCTTGTAACAAATGAAGCCTTTAGCTCTTAACCAGTCTTTTTCGAAATGCGTGGACCGTCGTGATAAAATGTACTAAATAACCTACACCACACCAATTGAGAACCTTCAACAGCAACAACAATGAACATGTATTAAAGTTGTAACGCGAATAAGAAAATAAGGATGTAATCAAGATGTTGTGGTTCCAAAACAATTCAAACAAAAGTCAGAACTTAAAACCTCATCAGTACTGAAAACAACAACGACAGTACATATGAAACTTATTTTCCTGCAAAATGATTTCAATAGCAATATGTAATAATGTTCACTGGTAATTAGATCATACTGCTCAGTAAATAAATACCTAATAACTTAGTTGTCACGAAACAGTTATATTTAACATTATCATTAAAGATACGTAGAACATATGATTCATATTGATTCCAGCAAGATGGCCATTGAAAATAAGCGTAACTCGACTAGCACTGGCTACTCGGTAATGAATGGCGAAATTAAACTTATAAGAAAAAGTCTAAGATTTATAAACGCTATATTGACTCTTCTTGTTTTCCAGCATGTTCGATATGTTGTTCTCGCCTTTAAGAAATCTGGTTAAACTTCTGGTCTCTGAAACTATATTTCTATTTTTCTTTTATCTCTTTTTAAGAAAGTACCAATGGCTCTAATCAACACTGGAATAATAAATCACCTAACGACACACAAACTTCTTACAGATAAAAAATATTGCTTTCGTTTCTCTCGGTCAACCACCATCATGATTATTGTTATGGATAAATTTGTTTATCCGGTTTTACATAACAACGGCGAGGCTCTGGCTGTGGCTTTAGATATTTGATTGTTCTTATTAAATCCTATAATGAAGATAATGTTGGACGGCCGCACTTCTAGATCATTTCATATTGAACATATTTTGCACCAAAATTAATGTAGAAAAACAGGTTTCTTTCTAAGCCAATATACAGGCAGGAAGATTTCTGCTTTTTAGTAAAATATTTCAAAAGTGTAAAGAAAAGTTAATAATAATAATAATAATAATAATAATATTGTTGTTGCGGCTTAGGAACGGGTTCTTGAAGAAAGTACCGAATGGAAAGTCTTCTGTTAGCGCAAGAGGTGGTTTTATGGGAGAAAGCACACAAAGTATTCTATTCATAAAACTGCTAATTTACTTCTTGGGTAAGCTGTTTAGGAAAGCTACTGAAAATGATCTATAAATGGTGATCGGATGCATTCAGCTGACATAAGAAGAGTAAAAACGGCGCCATGACAAAATTGTCCTCAGAATTCATAGCGAACTATGTAGACGTTTGGATTCGAGTATGCAGATAATTGGTGAACCCATTCACAACATTTAGTATCATTTGGGGTCTTATCATCTCGAATGACAAGAACTTGGAGAGCAAATGACCTGCTATAACACTTTTACATATGAGTTTTATATGTTTTTGTTTTCTGTTTGCCTGTAATATTTATTATGTTTTTTGGAATTTGATGATATGGTGTTGTATATTGGTGAAACTTGACTAATGCATAGAATAATAATGCAACACAAAATGTACTTAGAACAAAATGTATTGAAACAAGAAAGTGTACACAATATTTACATATAGTCTTTTGTATATTCCTGGGAAGACCGTTCCTGGAGAATGTGTTGACTTAGTCGCAGTCGGGCAGAGTCTCTGGATTGAATCTCTTGATTCCTCCCCTTCTCTTCCCGGTACCAACCATATTTATATGGTCGGTACTCCACTATGCAAATTAGGTGGATCCTTCCACAATATATATGGATATGAGTATATGTCTGAATACATTAGAGGCGGAGTGGTTGGAGATTTTTAATAGATATAGGGTCGTTATTTTCTTTTCTGTCTGGTTGTATGTGCCGCTGTTTAAATTAAATGATATATCTGACAAGTTTACTATTTTGGGTCAGATTTTATATCGGATTTAAATCGTAATATGTTGAAGGTCTCTATGATTTTTCATGTAGTCCTGACATGCAATTTCTTCTGGTTATTAGACCGTCGTTCCTGTACAAGTCTATGTCGTTTTGATTAATGATATGAAACACATGAAGCAACATTAGGAAATAGAAGTTATAAGAACAAACTAGAATATACAAAGGAAACAAACCAGAATAGAAAAAAATAATCTGGTTCAGCGCACCCTACAATGTCAAAATAAAAACAAAAATAGGAACATTATACTTCGAAATGAAAGACATTTCCCCAAACTCAAGAAACTATCAAAAATGTTTAACAAAATCGCAGCAAAAATCTGTTGTAGCTGCATGGATAACATAGGCAAAATAATAAACAACACCATAAAAATACTCAACAAAAACAATAATAAATACAACAACATAAATCAGTGGAACAACAAAAACAAATTCTATTGTCGGAATAAAAATAATTGCCAACTTAGCAACAAATGCCTAACCAACATCATAATATATAAAGCCACCGTAACAAACAATAGAGAGGCAGAAGAAGAAAACTTATATAAGCGCTACAGAAACAACACAACAATATCAAAATATACATGCGACCAAAAAAAAAATATTACCTAGATTATAGGGAAAATTATAAAAATAGCAGCCCCACACTTCAGAAACCACAACTACTGTAAATTGTGTCTTTAGGAAAAATTAACAATACCCTCCTCCAAGGATCAGACAGCGTTTTGAAAAAAAGAATGAAATAATGGTGAAGTGCAGACATTTATATAAGCATATACTTTGCTACCTGAAGGAAAGAAAACAAAAGAATACAACACAAAACGCAATCCCATCAGAAACAAAATTCACCTAGGAAAGAGCAACCACAATATCAACAAATAATAACCCACAAAATAACCACAAAACTATACAAAACAAACACGAAACCCGACATACAATTGCCGACAACTTGCCGACAACTACACCCCTTACACAACGCAAGAAACTCACAAATTTTCACAGACACACGCAATATCAACAAAATAACAACCATTGAAATATTGCCCAATCACACAAAACACAAATAAATTACCACAATGACATAATTCACAAAACGCAAAAAAACACGCAAAACTAAATATAGAAATCTGAAACAGAAACAATAAACCAAAGTTAAAGAGCATATTGAGAATGAGAAAATAAGAAAGAAAAATAATTGCTTCAAGAACTTCACCAAGAGAAAAAGCAAAACTATTCTTTTATACAACGAAAAACCAATGACGTATTGAGCATTAGCTAAAGTTAAATAAAACAACATAATAAAATATATATATATAATTAACACAAACACACACAGAAGCACAAACGCGCATGCGCGAACTCATGAACATACACGTGCGGATTAGTGTTTGCCTACTTATTTGTATGGTTGTATGCATGCGCACATACGTGCCCATACATGAATATAGACAGAAACACACAGCTACACAAAGATACATATATACTCAAAAAAAAAACAACAACTATAAACTAAATTAAATTTGCAGAACAATAAAAATCAGACAAAGATCACCGTAGAAGTTGAGTAAAGAATGAAATAAAAAAATAAAGGTAAAATCATTTTAAAAACCTGATGAGAGAGGAAGAGAAATCAGCAACTAATCAACACACACCAAACGAAAATTAAAGTAATAAACTCATGCCACAATAACTGCATAAGAATCGAGAAATATCAACAGTTCTGTTCTGACGAGTGTTTACATCTATATAGCCACAAAACTTCCAAGTAAACATGAGTTAGTGATGAAACTTTTTATGATAATTCTCTCCCCTCTCTCTCTCTCTATCTCTCTCTCTCTCTCTATATATATATATATATATATATATATATATGTGTGTGTGTGTGTGTGTGTGTGGGTGTGGGTGTGTGTGTAGAGAGAGAGAGAGATAGCTACATATGTTGCTTAGTAATCTTCCTACCTAGATAACTGGCGAGATAATTCGGATATAAAATGCTAGATTCCGGCAGAATAGTGAAAGAAAATACCGGGTGGGAAACAAATAAATGAATAAACAAATACAATTAAGAAATATCAGCATCAAAGAGAATACGGAAAAATATGGCACCGAACGTCAAAAATTATTAAGAAAGTACAGAAAGGCGGTTTGTGAAGAAAAATAAAGAAGAACAAACACAATTAGAGAAAGAGATAGAGAAATCCAAAGTGAAAGAATGACAGACAGACACTAAATTTTGGAATCGGAATAAAAGAGATAGTCTCAAAGAAATTACAGAAAAACTGCGTCAGAAATAAAAATAAATACTAATATTTGATGAACGGCTCAAGTCTTTTGCATAAGCAAGTTCTTGTTTTGTAAGGTGATTAAGACTTGGAACGCGTGAACTTAAATATCAGTGTATGAATGTGAAACTATGTAACTGTCTGTCGATAGATGAATCTCGCTTGTAAACGTCAAGGTTTCTTTCTGTGCTCAAAGGCCTGTTTGTTTTCGAAAATGTATAGCCTACGTCAAAAATGTTTTTTTTTTTTTTTTTAATTCATACTATTTACGCAGTTCGTTAGCGAAACTGCTGAAAAAGAAAGAAAATAAAAGAAAAATGGCTGGGAAAATCTTGTAAAATAGGAATAAATAAATAAAAAAGGAAAACGAACACGAAAAGTGAATAATAAATAAATAAAAAAGATGGTTTCGAAAAGGCGCAGCAAATGAGGGGAATGCATTGGGGGGAGGTGAAAATGTCGGGGCAGGTAAGTAGAGAAGATGAAAAGTTAGCGAAAAGAGATCGAAAAGTCGGGATAACGAGTGCAAAAGAAGAAATCAAATCGAATCAATAATAATTGAAGAAACAATGACGAAGGCAACGTCTTGTATTCACGATGACGATGATGACTATGAGGAGGAGGAAGAAGAGTCAGGATGATCTGAAAATTGTTATAATATCGTTGTTTTTTTATTGAAGGACTGCAAATCGATGTTGGTATAAATGACTATCAATAAAACACCGATGTAGAAAACCGACAACAAATATACCGGAATTTAAAAAGGAAATAAAACAACGAAAAGCATTCTATAATAATAATACTAATACTAATAATACTAATAATACTAATACTACTACTACTAATAATAATAATAATAATGTGAAGAAGAGAAGAAACAAGAAAAAAAAAGAATAAAATCAAGAAGGAAAATGTTGATGGAAAGGAAAATTTACCCAAGAGGAATAAACGATATGAAAATGGATATAAGCACTTAAATTGAATAATGCTTATTCAAAATAACGATTTGAAGAGAGAAATTGCAGGAACCAAACGGAAATAGAAATAAAGAAGATGGAAAAGTTATAAACAAAGAATAAAACAACATTTATTGAATCAGTAAACTGAAGCGTTCCGATGTGCAGATCTCTAAAAAGTTTACTTCTTATCGCTTAAATAACAGACTTATGCATAAAAAATTTTTCTTGTTGCTAAAGAAATACTATTTTTTCTTTACATTTATTCAGGGTAAAATACAACAAAAAACAGATATAACTTAAAAGTCAAAAGGAAATCTTTCCCGCAAAATATTGAAGATAACGAGAGTTAGAACGGATAGGAAGCTAAAAAAATAAAACTGAATTTATGAACAAAAATATATATAAACGTTAACAAAGTGAAGAACTACAGATGAAACTAATAACGATAAATGTGGGAAGAAAATTGACGGCAATATCAGTTCAGAAAATGCAGAAGGTTAAAATTGAGGATTCTTGACCTAATGGCGATTTTAATGAGGAGAGGAAAAAGGAAAATTCCATTGTCTGCAAACAGTGATTTTTACTGAGGGAAGAAGAAAATATTTTTGGTGATTTTCAAAAGATGTGTACAGCAATGCATTTTTATAGAAACACACAACATAGTCACATGCACAAAAAGTGGACATTCATTATTTCGTTTCAAATATTTGAGCAATTTGTGATCATAAAAAAAGAGTTGTACATAGAACATCGAGATAGATAGATAGATAGATAGATAGATAGATAGATAGATAGATAGATAGATAGATAGATAGATAGATAGATAGATATTATGGGGGAGACAGAAAATAAAAATACTGAAAACAAAAGAAATGTGTAAGGAAAAATAAAAATTGACTGTGATACAAAATAATATAAGGAAATAAAAACGTTAACAGAAGGATATATATATATATATATATATATATGCAAATATATTGATGAAATAGGAAAGAACTGTTAGATTGATGATCCGAATTTCTTTAGTATATTTGCCTAGATTGTTATTATTTTTTTTTTAAACACAGGAATTACCATGTCTCAAAAACAGAAGCTTAAACCTTCCAATTCAATTATAGAAATTAGATTAAATTAAAGTATCTACTTATATTTCATTTTCAAATGAATTTGGGATAACTTATTTTGAAATTTGCGGAGCTTTAAAAGCACATACATTCATAATATTAGTTTCTATGGATATAGAGAAAGCCAGTCAATTTAATAATGAGCGGTAGGGTACTCATTTTCTCTGACAACTATTGTATCAACATATTATTGACTTTCATAGAAGTTAAGTCAAGGTTGGCTCGGGATGCTTTTTTCAAACGAATGATGACATCCGTTCAACGCACGTTGTCTGGTCTTTTTCAACGACAGAAAGTTTTTAGGCATTATTGTTTCGTCGTTGAATTTGTGCTTGTATACATAAAGATGTTTTTTTAGAAAAATTATCTATTATGGAACTTTTTCTCTCTAGTTTATAATGTCATGGTCACAATTCAGTAATGGATATTTTTTCACGTTCTAACGAACGCTCAGCACATTGTCAACCGTTTTGTATTTAAAGCGTAATGAAAATATTACGGTAATGTTAAAAAACGCACAACTTTGTATAAATACTTATATTAATGAACAACATATAGTTTTGTGTTACTTGCACCACTGAAGATGGAAAAAGTTCGAAAGTATTTAGAAAATGAAAAAAAATAATTAAACATCTATAGCACATTTCTCTAATCCTTTAACATCAATACACTGAAGGTTATTCGTGAGTATGAAAGGATTTTAAAAAAATTAGCAGACATAATGTCTGTAATTTATTCGATCAGGCATGCCTATATATATATATATATATATATATATATATATATATATATATATATATATATATATATATATATGTTTGTATGTTTCTTTTGTAATTCGCTCTATTATTTTGTATCACTATCAATTTACATTTTTTTTTTTTTCTTTTTTGTATTTTTTCATAAATACTCTTTTCATCAATGTCTATTTTAAAAATCTTGTCGTCATTATTTATTATTAAAATACACCTTTAAATGCCGAATCTAGATGCGTGGTCAATGTCGATGCTCCCATGTCACTAGAAGTTTTGAATCTAAATAAACAACTAACTTCTTCGATGGGCGACCCGACCGAATATGATCAGTCCGCAGCTAGAACAAAATTTGCCCTTAGCTTTAGGACGTGGATTATATAAGTTGTCCCAGTAAACAACAACCAATCAAGCGTTCACTTGGTCTATTCGAAGTTATAGATTAGGTATTAAATAAACTATTCAAGTAGATATGCCCTAAAACTAAATAGTGCAAACCAAATAAGCCAATCATCCTTCTGTAGAGCCATATTTCTGTTACCTCGATTTATTCCTTCCTCTGTGATTAACTTGTAAAGCTTTCACTCCTGTGTAGTAAGATTGATATTCCAGAAAAGTTTTTTTTTTTTAACGAAATGTTCCTGTTAGTTAAAACATTCCTTAGCTTTTAGAGACATTTTTCACTATCCCAAGGCACTTTCGCTGGTACTTTTTCCTTGCCTTATTTTGGTATCTCTACTATTTAATTCGTATGTTAAGCTGTTCCTTTAGTTGACAACCATATATACTCTCTTCTTACAATTGATGTTTAATACTGTTTTCTTGATTGGCCCATTCTTGCACCAAATATGTCAAAATAGAGAAGCTTTTAGATAAACTAATATTCTAGTAAGTTATTTCACATTTTGTTCGAGCACACATGACTATTCTTTTTAACACAAACGGATCAATAATATAGTTGATTGTTTTAAAGTCATTTCTCCAAGAGAAATTTATGGCGAATTTTAGAGTGCATATAGAAACAGAAAATAATCGGTAAATTCAAAAAGATGCCTGAAAAGCTATATATCTGTTGTAGATAAAGTCAAAATTCCTGACCTCGTTTCTCGACATCGGTCTTCTTGTTCGTAATTTTTCTGGCAAACTTCCGTCTATGGTACATTGACCTAATGAATTTAAGTGTACTACTATATTGGAGGCAAGGTGTCATCATTTTGCTGTTGAAATATCTAGATATATCCGTAGGTTCTATGCTACAATTTCTTGTATCGCGCTTCTGAAATGTGAAATCTCTTACAGCTTTTTTCTTAACTGTCAACTTTGATCACCAAAATTTTAAATGCAATGTCAATCATCATCTACTGATCTTAATTCTTCCGCTTTTAATATTCTCTCTTTTTCTTTTCTTTTTTTCTCATATTCTCTAACACTCAGTAATTCCTTTCGTGTTTGTGTCTTCACTGACTTGCTTGGAGTGAAATGCTTCAAAATATATTAGTTTCTTTTTTAAATTATTGATGAAGGAAAGTTTTTTATAAAATGTCAAAAAGTTTGGTGTAAAATGTGCAATATTATAGATTTATTTTGAACAATTTCATCCTGACAAACACGATAATGCTACTAAAACACAAAATCTGCTGAAATTGAAAGTGACGGAGAAGGCTGTAATGAGGAAAACTAAAATAATGTACAGGATTCAGGAAACGTGAAGATACAAAATATATTTTACTATATATATATATATATATATATATATATATATATGGTATATCGGATTTATAACATTTATGTCTAGGTCTTATATATTTGGTATTTATTTATATTCCCCGTGTAATTAGTTTGATTTTTGATGATTGAGTGATTTGTATTTCACGGTTTATCAACCCTTTGCATGTTTTTTCACGACTTATCAGGCACGTTCAGATTGAAAGAATTGTTTTGGAGAGATCATAACAGTTTAGTCATAAATATCTTACTAATTAACCCATAGCTGGGAGGACAAGAAGCGAATTCATCCAAAGGTATTTGCGCGTAAATTAATATATCTAAACCAAGGGGAATTAGAAATCAATTCTCTGTCTCACTCATGCCTTATACCACTGTCACACCCACACTTATCACGGCTGATATTCGAAAGTGGCCAGCCATGTAATTACTGCTTAACTTCAGTGATCATATGGGAATGAATATCATTGTTTAACATTAATCCCCACGGTGACATTTTCGGTCAATGGGTATTAATGATCATATGTAGAAACCTATAACTAATAGTAAATGCAAAATTAAACTTTTCCGTGCACGGAAACATTCAGTATTCATGGACCAAGCAGCCTGTGCTACAATCTTTTTAAATTTATAAAATTCATATATTAAAATAATCTTTCAAATTAACTTACTATTATCACTCTTTCCAATAATGAGTTGGGCTTCTTTCCTAAACTTTTATTTGGATTAACCTTATTATTTTTTTTCTTCGAGGTAAGCTCTAGCTTTTCCTATAAATATGTTGTTAATGCTGAATGCTATTTTCATAAACTGTAATTAATACAAGATTTTATTTATATTTTTTATTGAAACCGAATTTTAGAGTGGGCATTAGCGAGGATAATAAGAGTATCATGAAAAAAATATTCCCCGGGAAATTAAAGTCAGATATATAAACATTTGAGACTACTGAACATGACATAATTTATTTTCGATGCATATATATTTACATTTGAAAGTGAACCATTACAAAAGATGCTATAATAAAACTAATGAAAAAAAAACGTTTCCCTATGGCGCTGATAATATTAATCTTCCTGATAATGACTATATATGGTAGCATGTAGTCGAAAAATAACATAGGTATAAGAAAATATACATACAATTAAAAAATGTAAACAAAATTTATCTCTTATATTTAATGAAAAATGTTTTTGTTCTGCACACTCAGACACACACACAAATATGTATATATATATATATATATATATATATATATATATATATATATATATGTGTGTGTGTGTGTGTGTGTGTGTGTGTGTGTGTGTGTGTGTGTGTGTGCGTGTGTGTGTGTGTGTGTGTGTGTAGAAATATAGTTTTAAAGTTTGGCATATTTCTGGGATAAAGACGCAGCTTATGTAAATATAAATATAAAATTTGACATTGAATTTAACAATCAGTGGCGACAGGCTGTTTCATGCTAGACGCAATCGCCAGGCCTGACGATTTTGCCTAGCAGGAAACAACCTGTCGCCACTGTGTGTTGACTTCAATGTTCTCATTTATACAAATACACACACGAAAAAATGAAAATAACACAGATATCTCATTTTCACAGATATATTTACCAAAATTACACTACAATATCTGGAAACACTAAATAGTAAACTTATTTAATAAATCGCTATTAGATTTAATCACGGCCTTCTTCGGAATCTCCTGTTTCTCTTCTGGATGGTTTCCTTGTTTAAGTTGTTGGATGCTGCCATAATCTTTGCTTTCAATTCGTATTTGATGTAATATTCAAGGGGGTCGAAGTTTGGGCAGTTATGTGTGATTTGGTCGAAGATATTGTTTTAAAACTGTTAGGGGACCTTACCCATAATAACACAATGGACTATTCCATACGTAATAAATACTGCGCTTCAAGAGGAAGCAGGAAGTTCAGCCAGAAATCTGGAGTTCAGTCTGAAGTCTGGAGTGAAGTCCTTCAGGAGTCTGTCAGTCAGTCAGTCAGTCAGTCAGTCAGAGCGAGTCAGTCAGTCGAGTCAGAGGCAGTCCGAAACAGAGTCGCATTCAGACAATTACTACTAAACCTGATTGTTCCTACTAACACTTTATACTTCTCTGTATATATTCCTGTTTGTAATATATTTGTGTTCTTCCATATCCGTATTCGAGTTCTTCTTTATTGGTTCTATCTTGGACTATCATCGTGGTACAAGGAACTGGACCATAACAGTGTCGACGAGCGATTCTAACTCATTCGGTGGA